TGTTGAAAGAAGTCGGGTGGTGGAGGGTTTTGGCTTTGTTCTGGGAAATCATGGCTCATGGTTGGATGGCTATGGAGTTGCTCATAGGGCTCGTCATCGGGTTGGTTTTGGGGGAGTTCCTATTCCGGTTCTTGAAGATGTGGTGGGAGGGCGTTTGGGAAGAGGTAGTGTTGATCCGATCTGCCTGTTTTGAAGTGGAGTTGGGGGAGTTCTGGGTTGGGCAAGAGGAAGTATTTGAGGGGTTTGGGGTGGATGTGCCAGTTGTACATATTTTTGGGCCTTTCTTCACCATAAACGGTGTGTGAAAAAGAAGTACAGCCCGAGTGGCCTAGCCAAGATATGTTCATTAAACAGTAGTCGGGTATAGGAGAGTCATCCGTATACCCGAACTTTGTGGCCAAGTGCATAATCACCCCGCCCACTACGATAGCACCCTTTGCCACACTTTCCTTCTTTAGATGAGCCCACATGAGATTACAGAGGTTTAAATCCACGTGGATACGGAATAAGGCAACTGAGATGAGGCATACATCCCCCATCCTTGTATGATGGTTGTTGGGACGTCCAAGCAAGGAGTTGGCAAGAAATTTCAAAAAGAGGCGTAGGACTGGATGTTGGACATGACTAATGTAGAGTTGGGAGGAGTTAACTTTGGTCTCCCCGGTCATCTTGGTCCATAGGGTGTGGCCGAAGGCGGTATTGTCGGATATAGACTTTTGGTACGGGACCGAAATACCAAAGTGTTCGGCAAACTCAAGTTTCGTGATGGTGTGATTGTGATTAAACAATCGAAACCTGAGTTTATCATCCCTAAAGTCCTCTTCATTGTTCTCAAAGTGCACCGAGCTTAGGAATTCATAGATAATTTTTTCATTTGAGTTGTATTGCATTTTGAAAATTTTATCCATATGCAACTCATGAAAAAATTTCTTCATTATTGTGTATACTCCTAATTCCTTTAGAGCATCAAGGCATAAAAAGCGGGAAGGTTTGACTTGCCTTTCAATTGTGGACATGAAGCGTGTGCGTTGTTCGTTGTCCACGAAAAGGATGTCCTCGTAGCCCGGGATGATTGTCCTAGTGCTTGAGCTTTGCCCTTTCTCTTTCCTTGGAGCCATTTGAAGTGAATTTGGCCTTTGAAAACCGAAATTTGAATGGTGGGGGTAGGGTTTTTCGGACCTCTGAAAGTTGGGGGAGAATGGGATTGGTGGGTATGAATGTGTAGAGGAGGATGAGGGGAGTGTTTTGGCGTTGGAATGGGTGGATTTGGTGAAGATTCGGAAGAGATATGGTAGAGAGAAGGTGTAAAAATGGGGTTTGGGCGTTTTTTGTTCGAGATAGGGTTGGGAATTTGGGGAAGATGAAGTGTTTTGGGGCTGATTTGGGGTTATAAGACCCGTATACCCGATCGAGTATGTGCTGGTACTCGGTCGGGTATGGCTGGAAAGTGTAGTTTTTGAGCGGCCTGTCTCCTGTACTCGATCGGGTAGGGTGGAGTTACCCGGTCGAGTATGCTTAGAAAATGAACTTTGTGAGCAGCCTGTCTCCTGTACCCGGTCGAGTATTCCTCCATACTCGATCGGGTATATGCTTTTTTTTTCATTTTTGAAGCGGGTACTCGGTCGAGTGTGGGAGTCAGTCCCCTTCAATTTTAGCATTTCTAGCAATACCCGACCGGGTGCATAGTGATACCCGATCGAGTATATATGAATACCCGGTCGAGTATGCTTAGAAAGTGGTATTCGGGCTATACTCGACCGATCTTCGTTTGCAATTTAAAGGCATACCCGATCGGGTATGTCGGTCTACCCGATCGGGTATAGACATAGAATCGTGGTCAAAATCTTCCCTGCATGTTCCTTTGTCTTCGGATCTGATCCGATTTGAAGTTCCAACCTAATACCCGATCGAGTATAGCCAATACTCGACCGAGTATAGACCAAAATTCAGGATCTTCTTTTGTCTTTGAACTTTTGCACCTTCTCTTCACTTTTTGGGTTCACCAACTGTACTTTGGGTGACCAAAACCTGCTTAAGCTCAGAATATGTCTAATCTAACCTATTTACAAGAATTTAACAATCTAATCTATTACACCAAAAGTGTGTAATTTCCAAAGTAAAAGTCAAGCAAAACTAATTAAAAACATAAACATAGAAATGGAAATTACGAACGTATCATTACGCAATGAGGGATGAGGATGCGATGACCGACGAACAACTAGAACAAGAATTGCACTGACATAATTCCCGCTTTTTTCAAGACCAACCGAGGACCATTGACGAAGAAGAGCTCGAGGACGACGATGTGGAGGAAGTAATTCCGGAGAGCCACGACGACGAGGAGGAGGAGGGTGGCGGCAGCCATGACGCCAACGAGCCCGCCTCATCCCAAACCGGTACGAAAAAAAGTAAATCTGAACTAATGGCTAATAATTTTTCCAAATGGAAGGACCCGAACACCGGGAATTGGACCGCAACTTGCAATTGGTGCAAGAAAAACTATAGCTTGGGGATTTCCGACGGATACGGATCCGCCACAAGACATCTTAAGTCCAAACACCCGGTGGAGTATGCAAAATTAGGCGGCGGAACGGGGAAGCAAACTCAAATATCGAGGTTTGCAAATAACCAACAAGCTTTTGGTAATTTCTCATATAATGATGCACAAAATTTGACTGGTATGGCTAACTTACTTGTTGAAGAAAATTTGTCTTATTTGTTTTCTGAAAGACTTGCTTTTCGTGATTATGCACAAACTTGTTTAAATCCGCAATATAGAGGTTATAGTCGCAAAACGGTTAAGAAAGAAATTTTAAGGCTTTATGGTGCGAAAAAGATAAGGTTACAAAATTATTTTGCAAACTTTGATGGCGTTTGGCGTGTTACTGTATGTTCTGACATATGGGAGGATACTTATCATAATTTACATTATTCTGGTCTGACTGTACATTATATTGATAATGATTGGCATATGCATAAACGTGTTCTTGCTTTCCGTGAATTTAATGATCGTCACACCGCTGAACATATTTATATTTTGATTGAGTGTATTGTAATTGAGTATAATTTAATTGATAAGGTGTTTGCTGTTGGTTTTGATAATGCTACTAATAATACTGCTGCTATTCCTAGATTGCGTGAATTGTGTGGTTCTACTTCTTTGATGGGTAGATTTTTTCATCAACGATGTGCATGTCATGTTCTAAATTTATGTGTGCAAGATGGTCTAAAAGCGTTGGGAGCATCTTTAGAGGTAGTCAAGGGGGGATTAGACGTATTTGGGGTAATGGACAACTTAGGAAAAAATGACATGATTATTTGCTAGAAAGAGGTGAGAAATATGTGGCTTTCCCTAAAGATTTGTCTATTTGTTGGAATAGTACCTATAAGTTAATTGAAGTTTTTCTTAGATATAAACAACATTTTCCTGCTTTTATGAAACAATATGATAACTATAGTATAAACTCGGCTGAGATCGACACTTGTGAAAAAATTTGTAATGATTTGATATATTTTAATAATGCAACTGAAACTTTTAGTCATGTTTATAAACCTACCTCAAACCAATTTATTCGTGAAGCTGTTAATCTCGCCGGTGCTTTTTCAAATTTTGAGAATGCTGATTATGTGAGTTATTTTGCTAGTTTTATGAAGGAAAAGTTTTTAAAATATTATTCACATATTCCGCATATTTATGGTATTACATTTGTTCTCGATCCTCGTTTTAGACTTGATTCTTTAGAAGAATGTTTGAATTATTATTATGCTCCTTTTTTGGTCCATTGCCAATGTATGAGGACAACACAATCGATCCGAAAAAAGAATACATCGATGTTAGTGATATATTTTATGCATTATTCAATGAGTTTCATGCACAATAGCAATGCGTCCCCTCCCCCGACACAAACATCATCTAAAGGAAAATCAATTTTCAAATCTACATTTGCCAATCTTATTAAAAAACGAAATCTACTCCTGCTACGCAACAAAGCACAATTAATGAGATTTCTTTGTATTTAACATATGATGTTGATTTTGAAGAAGATGATGATTTTGACGTACTAAACTGGTGGAAGGGAAAAGAAAGAATGTTCCCGGTTTTAGCAAAGATGACTAAGCAAGTGCTATCAATGCCGGTTTCAACGATTGCCGTGGAACAAGAATTTAGTTCGGCCGACAATGTCCTAACGCAATGTAGAACGAGGTTGAACGCAAAATCTCTTGAGACGCTTATATGCTACCACGATTGATTGAAAGCGACCCGTAGAGCTCAAAAAATTGACATCACCCCATCCCAACACTTTATGGATGAATCTACAAGGACTACAACCGAGGGAAACTCTATCTATGTCGGAGATTCCGATTGAATGATTGATTAGTATTTCATGTTTTAATTTTCTTCAATTCTCAACTGTAACTTGTAAACTTGTAGTTCATATTTCAAATAAATATACGTTCATTTTTTTATATGTAGCATTTTTTTTTGAATTCGTAAAATTAATTAATTAATTTTACATAATGTAATTTATTCAAAATAAAACATACAAAAAAAATTTGAAATCAAAAGCCTCAAACGACTCTATTGAATTTTGAATCAATAGAGACATAGAGCCATTGGGGGTGGAGGTGAGTGGGGGTACAAAATATTCTATAAATACTCCTATTTTCTAACATTTTATACACATCTTTTTCAACATCCAATCTCTAATCTCCATTCTCCAATCTCCATCTTCATTTCCATCTATTGTAGAATTATTATATCCATTTTTAAGATGGAAAATCAAGATGTCGTTATACGATATAATTTTGATAAGCAAAAGGACCCGAAGACCGGGATGTGGTACGCAATTTGCAAATGGTGCGGGAAAAAATGTAGCATGGGAATTTCAGGCGGATACGGGATGGCAATGAAGCATATTAAGTCATGTGACAAAGCCAGAGGATCGGGAGGTGCGAGAAGTTTCGATTGATTAGAATTTACAAAATGCATGTCTCTTGAAGTTTGTTTTAATTTTCAAATGTAGTTCCTATTTCATTTCAAATAAATGCACTTGAAGTTTGTTTTTAATACTTGTATAAAACTATAAAGTATAAATTATAAAAAAAAAATTACTTTAACCGGCCCGGCCCGGCAGGTGGCTTGACCCGTGATCCGGGCGGGTGGCCCGGCCCGAACCGGACCCGTCCAACCCTCGGACCGGTCCCGGGTCCATGAGATACAAACCGGCGGCCCGACCAGGCCTAGGCCCGGCCTGAGTCCACCTCTAGGCTCAACTAACTCTTCCAACTCTAATCCCCCTGCCTCAACTTCTTTAGTTTCCTTCTCCTTGGTCTCGTTGCAAATCCGTTCAAAAGTAGGACTTTATCCACATAAAGATCACTCGTTGTCTTCACATCCATCTAATGCAAATAAATGGGTTGTGCCCATATTTTTTCAATGAAAACAAAAATTTGTAAAAGTTTCATATACCACCGATTGGTTGACTACCTTACGGGAAGGTACTCGAATAGGAAATGAAAGTATGAGCGGTTTCGACACATCAACTTCAATAAACACTCTAGCAAACCTATGATTTCTCCTTTCTTGGGTGATCAACTCCGTAGTCATTGGCATCCCAACCATAGAAGCTACTTCACTCATGGCATCTTTATTCCATAGTTTCATTGATAAGTGTGGGAATTTAACCCAAATCATCACTTTGAGGAACTCTTTATCCTCAAATGTAAAGTGTTCAGATAAAACCTTCGGCATGAGTAGCTTGCCCAGGAAAACGACCTGTTCAAAATTTTAGTTCATGGATAGCTTTTAGCCCAGAAAAACGACCGAAACCAACTAGGCAATATCCTCACATATCAACCATGTATGGCATAACTCTATCGGAGAAGTCCAAAGTATTACCTTTAGGAGGCACAAAATTCAGTTTGATCCCATTAGAAGGGGCTCAGTTATCTTTAAAGAGTGCAGTCCATGGCTTCTCAACCAAATCCTTCTGTTTTGTGATTGTTCTAGCGTGCTGTAGAGTAGTCCCGGGGTTACTGCGTTCACTAGCCAAAGGCATTCCACCAGTAACAGTACCCAAAATCTCCAGCACATCTGCTTCCAGCAACCCCTCAACCGGATTCCCAGTCCCTCCTGGAGAAGAGGTTTGTATAGCAAACACATGTTCTTTCTGATTTTCTCCAGCAGAAGGTTTTACCCGCACCAGCTTTTCTGCTCCCAGCACAGATGGACTCCCAGTATTAGTGTCGGCAGTAGCTTTACGCACACCACTAGCTGGAACTAAATTCCCAGGAGAGTTCCTAGCACTTGTAGTAGCAGTAGTCAAGGCAGGAGCATCCACAGTTAACCTGGACGGTGCTACAGTAGTCGGCCCTGGTGCGGTCTTTTGTCCAGGTGGTTTCACACTTGTAGTAAGTTCCTGAGTTACTGCGTTCACTAGCCAAAGTGAACCTGGCTAGATGACCTAGTAGCTCTCGCCATAGGCAGTTGTGCATTCCCCTGTTTCTTTCCTGACATTGGAGGAGGCGTCGTAGCCAAGAACGACGGTGAACAGTGTAAAATCGACGAAATCAGTTTACGCCTATCCAACCTCCCCACGCTCCAGAAATAGAGGTGCGGCTGAGGTAGGAGAACCGCACAACACCTTTGAATCGCAGAAACAGTTGTTCAGATTGAAACTTCAACCAAAAATCGATTTCAAATTGAACAGTAAAAATCGCGAGGAATCCTATCGTTTTTGAGTGTGTTGGCCTTAAATCCTCCTTCCAGTTAGCAATCCGGGCTCGGATCTGAAACAAGAGGTGGATTCCGACTAAGAACCACCAAGAAAACGTAATCAAAACCCTCCCAGCCATTGCTCGACTGAAATCCAACATCCGCGTGACTCTGGAACGGCTTCTACGGAGAGAACCATTTTTGTAAGTTTATGGTTAAGTAGTTCATCTACATATCTTTTTGTGAGGAAGCAAGTAGGAGAAACTCCGTTTCTACGGAACAATCTTCTTGTTATGAAGGATGTCAAAAGTAACAGGAGTAGTGAAGTAGGGATATTTAAGGAAATTCAGTGAAAAGGATCAATCTTAAAGGAAACCAGGAAGTGCATCCCAAGAAACATCTACACTTGAAGAAGACGAGATGAGTTTCTTAAGTGTTAGGATTAAGGCGTTGTAAACTGTTGTTTTTGCAAGCTTAGTGGAACAGTGGACTAGAGGAACGCGTTGTTCCTTGAACCACAATAAAAACCCCGATGTCATTTACTTTACACATTTACTTTCCTGCACTTAGATTTTAACTACTTAACTCCCAAAGACTTGGACTCTATGTTCATCAGATCTTGTCCTAAGAGTTATCAGAAAAGCATTTGCATTACTGTTTTTTTTAAGGCTACTCGACCAGAACTGCTACCAGAATATCCGCTGCCAGGTCCAGTTCTGCCACCAGAACTCAATCTTCTCTGTCAAGTCTGTTAAGACTTAGACAAAAAGTTTGAAACTTGAACAGTCTATTCACCCCCCTCTAGACTGTTTCTTGTGTAAACGAGACCAACAGAGGATATCACCAAATATCCATGCATGAAGATGATGCAAAGAAAACCGCTTTCATGACCCCAGAGGGCATCTTCTACTACCTTCTCATGGCCTTCGGCCTCAAAAACTCAGGCGCCACTTATACAAGGATGGTAGCCGGAGGAGTATTTAGAATCATCCTGGGCCGAACGATGGAGGCGTATGTTGACGACATGATCGTATAAAGAAAGTGATCATCCACACACGTAGAGGACCTCTGGGAGATCTTTGAAATTATGAAGAAATCCAACCTCCGCCTCAACCCAAAGAAATGCACCTTCGGTGTCCAAGGCGGCAAATTCTTGGGGTATATGGTTAGCCGAAGAGGGATTGAGGTGAACCCAGAGAAGATACAGGCCATCATCAAAATGGAGCCACCCCGAAATAAAGAGGTACAACGGCTAACGGGACGCCTAGCGGCCTTGAACCGTTTCCTCTCCAAATCAGCCGAGAGATCATTACCCTTCTTCCAAATTATGTGCAAGGCCATCGGCTTCAAATGGACAACGGAGTGCCCGCAAGCCTTCGAAGAACTAAAACAATATCTCGCCTCCCCACCCGTCCTATCTAAAACCACCCCCGACGAGACTCTATTTCTCTACTTTGGGGTGAGCACGTCGACCACAAGTTCTGTGCTCATCAAGGAGGAGGATGGTGTGCAAAAGGCTATATTCTACGTCAGCATGAAGTTAAGAGAGGCGGAGCTCACATACTCCCCCATTGAGAAGATGGTGCTCGCCATAGTCCATACAATGAAGAAGTTGGGGCATTATTTCCAGGCGCACCGTGTAAATATCCTTACATAGCAGCCCTTTGGTGCGCTCATGTGAAGCCCTATGAGCTCTTCGAGGATGGTGAAGTGGGCGATATTTTTGAGCCAGTATCAAATCGAGATCAAGCCGATGCCATCCACCAAAGGACAAACTTTGGCCGACTTTGTTATGGAATGCACAATCAGGGAATCAGTCGTCGTCACCACCAGCACCGAGCCAGACGAAACATGGATCCTCTTTACTAACGGCTCATCAGCTGCCAGAGCATACTACGCCATCCGATTCAACTTCAGAGTGTCCAACAACGAGTCTGAGTATGAGGTCCTCCTCAGTGGCCTTAGACTACCCGCCGGCCTCAAAGCACGACATATCAGAATCAGGTGCGACTCTAAGTTGGTCGTGGGTCAGATTGAGGGCTCCTATGAGGTAAAGGAAGGAAGGATGAGACAGTACAGGGAAGCAGCGACAGAATTGCTCAAGGCATTTGAAACCCATGAGATCACTCAGATCCCTAAGGTGGAGAATGCTGAGGCCGATATACTCTCCAAACTTAGCTCCGACACCCCGGAGCACACCTCCAAAATAGCAAAAGTCGAAGAGTTAAACATGTCTAGCATTCATGCCAGCCCCGTCCTATGCATTCAACAACGACCAAATGATTGGATATCTGATATTATGAACTTCATCACAACTGGAGAGTTACCCAAGGATGACGAACGAGCTAAATTAGCCAAGCTTAGAGCCCCAAGCTAAACCATCGAGGACGGAAGGCTGTACAAGCGATCCTATAATGGCACTCTCCTACGGTGCCTACACCAGGACGAAGCCGAAGTGGCGATGGAGGTACATTGCGGCATCTACTCATCACACTAGGGACCCTTCAGCATGTCTCGACTCCTCGTTATCGAAGGCTATTTTTGGCCGACGATGACGCAGGATTGCGTACAAATGGCTAGAAGATGCACCGCATGCCAACACTTTCAACGAGCCCCTGGCTGACCAGACGCCAACTACACCTCAGTCAGCACGGCCATACCATTCTCTAGGTGGGGGGTCGACTTGGTCAGGCCTCTTCCAAGAGGCGAAGGCAACAACCAGTTCATCATCGTCGCCATAGATTACTTCACTAAGTGGATTGAGGTCGAGCCGCTCGCTAGCATCGCAGAGGGCCGCTATCGGAAGTTTGTTCACAAGAACATTCTTACCCGCTTCGGCGTTCCTCAGGAGATCATATCAGACAACGACACTCAATTTGAAGCCGCGCCATTTGAAGTGCTCCTCCAGGCATGGGGCATCAAGCATCGATTCTCCTCTGTTGCCTACCCTCAAGGTAACGGGCAAGTTCAGAACACAAATAGAACCATCCTGGAAGGACTAAAGAAGAAGCTGGAAGACGAAGGAGTCAGCTGGGTGGATGAACTTCACAACATCCTTTGGTCTTATCGAACCACGCCGAGGAGAGCTACCGGCGAGACACCATTCTCCCTTTGCTACGGCTTCGAAGTGAAGGCACCCACTGAGGCCACACTACCTAGCCGAAGGGTCGAACATTATGACCCTGGGGTTGATAAAGAGAATATGAAGATCGACTTGCATCTCATCGATGAAAGGCGCGAGCAGGCCTATCTCAGAACCGAGAACTACAGACGCCAAGTCAAATCATATTACGACGCCAAGGTCCGCTCCCGGGAATTTCAAGTGGGCAACTATGTCCTACGCCGAAGGGAGGCCAGTAGGCCGATGGACGGTGGCAAGCACGCCCTCAAATACGAAGGGCCCTACATCATTGAAGCAATAATAAAAGTCAGCATGTACAAACTCAAACACCCAAATGGGATGGAAGTACCACGATTGTGGAATGTACATCATCTCGTGAAGTACTATCAATGATGTGAAGGTTAAAAGCTCAAAGATGAAGCTAATACCTTTTTTCAGAACATTGATAAGCTAAAACACCCCCGGCCCTGAGCCACTTATCAATAAAACATCGTATGAGAGAATTCCCTAAATAAGACTAAATGAAGGTAGCATTGCAAAAATAGGACTACTATGTTTTATTGGACAAAAATATGACTAAAAAGAGCTAATTGGACAAAAATACCCTTAATGAACATATTAAGAGTTCACAAAGACCTGTGCTGCGCATATGTGATTCCCCTACAGCGCAAACGGTGTGCCCTGTGCGTTTACATGCCTCCAAGATCGGTGCCTCCATCAATGGCAGCTCTGCCACCATCCATCAAGTCTGCCACCACCTTCACGCCTCAGCAAGTACGCTGTCATCGTTCTCCAACAAAAAACTACCCTCCAGTTAGTCTGTGTAGACTTCCATGAGGAATGACACTTCATATGCGAGAATGCCACTTAATATATGCATAATGACACAATAATGACAATTTCGTATAGATACATGACATTCTCAATATGACATTTTCAAATAATGTAATGACATAAAAGTGGCATTTTTAAAAATGACCAATAATGACACAACAATGACAATTTCGTATAGAAACATGTCATTCTCAATATGGCATTTTCAAATATTGTAATGACATAAAAGTGACATTTTTAAAAATACCCAATAATTATGATATTCTCTTATTCAAAAAAGTGTCATTTTCTGGAAATCTAAAGAAGAAGAAAACAGAGGACCTAGATTTGAAAAGGATGGGAAATTCATATCCAAAAGTTCCAAATCCAAAATTTTCTAATAAAAAAATTTATTTGAATCTTAAAAATCAACAAAGCTCTATTTTTGAATTGTAAGAACAACATTGAAAGCATAGAGAATCACGATTAGAACAAGCATCATTAATCCATTTATATAAAAGAGTACGAAGAAGGATAAGAGGGAGAAGGAGGAGGAGGAAAAGAAGAAAGAAGAAGAAGAAGAAGAAGAAAAAGAAGAAGAAGAAGAACTTACCTGGTGATGGAGTATATGGCCCCGGGGACCCCAGACCCACATACTCTTATTACTATAACAAAGGCCCAATGAGCCCAGGAAGCACAACAGGCCCAAATCACAGCGCCCGAAGTGCCAAGCAGCCCACGACGTACACTTGGGTGCCTTCGGGTCCCATGGCCGAAGGCTTATAAACTTGTAGAACAGCTGTTTTAGGCAAAGGAAAGTACTGGGAGAAAACGGCGAAAAACAGTAGCCCTCGGTAAATGGAGCCCTCAGCACACAGAGGCCCCCGGGTTGAAGAGCCCTCGGCTAATCATATACAGCCGAAGGCACCTTCCTCGACAGAATCCCTCATCCACATGCGCTGGATCAACGTACCAAGTACAAACGTCACATCCAAGCGTCGCATTTAATGCGGCCACATGCGAGTGCCGGTGCCACCCCAGTTGAGGTGACCCCTCGACCATCAGATTGTTGACACGTGTCCCTATCTAGCATTTATTGCTGCTATAAATAGCACCCCTTTCCCCATTTGTAGTACACACTGAATACGCCCATTATCAATATACACTCTCTCTCTATTTTTGCTCTGACTTCTCTCTAGTTACTCCCCGCAGTAACCCCTCGGATAGATACCCCCCGGGTACACTTATCCATCATTTGGTGCTCTCGTTGAGAGGTCGAACAATCAAGTAAGAAACCCTCGCCTTCAGCCAAAAACACCTATCAAAATGGGAAGAAACAGCTATGCCCAATCCAAGACTCAT